ATCCAGAACAATTGTAGCTATGTGCAGTGGTGATTGCCCATGGTTTCTCATGGCAAGCAAGGACAACAGAACATCTAATTTTGTTATTAAAAAGTACTGTGATGAGCACACTTGTAGTAAATCCTGGAATCTCAAGGGATTGACAGCTCCTTTTCTCACCAGAAAATTCAGAGATGAGTTCAGGGACAATGAGAAGATGCCCTTGAAGAAATTTTCAGAGAAGGTGCAAACAGAGTACAACCTCATACCAACCAGGAGCAAATTGGGAAGAGCTAGAAGAGCATCAGTGAAGGAGATAAGGGGGGAGGATGATAACCAGTACATGCAGTTGTGGGATTATGGAGAGGAGTTAAGGAAAAGCAATCCCGATAGCAAGTTTATCCTATGTACAAAGGAGATAGAAGATGAGAATACAAAAGAGATAAAAGAGCACTTCTCCACATTGTATTGGTCACTGGATGCATGCAAGAGAGGATGGCTTAATGGTTGTCGGCCAATACTTTTTATTGACGGATGTCACATAAAGACCAGATACAAAGGAAATTTACTCACGGCTGTAGGTATTGACCCAAATGATTGTATCTTCCCCATAGCATTTGGCCTTGTCAAAGTGGAGTCAACTAGCAGTTGGGAGTGGTTTCTGGCAAGCCTAAAGGATGACTTCAACATATGTAACACCTCTCCGTACACAATTATGAGTGACAAGCAAAAGGTATTTCATCATCAAAGTAAATTTGTAGTTTCACCATGACTTGTTGTATGTGAAATTGACTTTCATTATGAAATGTACTTATGACGTTGTGTTGCATGACCTAAATATATGTTTGTAAGTGAAAATTTCTTGCTTTATCATATATGTATGTGACATTGGGTTGCTTAATTTCTTATGCGAAATTGCAGGGTCTCATAAAAGCTGTGGCAAAGATATGGCCTGATGCCGAACACAGATTTTGTGTCAGGCATATGTATCAGAATTTCCACAAGGTTCACAAAGGTGAGCAACTGAAGAACAATTTGTGGGCAATTGCCAGGGCTACAAACAACCCTACATACACTAGAGCAATGCAAAAGATGGAACAAGACAGCACTGATGCATACAAATGGTGTGAAAAATGGCCACCCAGAACCTGGATTAAAGCATTTTTCAACCCATTTCCAAAGTGTGACATTCTACTAAATAACATGTCTGAAGTTTTCAACAGGTAAATTGTGAAAATAGGTTAATTCTCATTTGTGTATACATTGTCATTTGTGTTAACATTCTGCTGTGTGTGCTAACATTTTTGTCTCTTCAATTTCATAGTTGGATATTGGAATCTAGAGAACTACCAATTAAGTCCATGTTGGACAGCATCACTGACAAGATCACAACTAGGATGTACAACAAGCAAAAGGAGGTGGCCACTGATAGAAAATGGGGTAAAAGATTGTGCCCAAAAATATAGAAGAAGCTTGACAAATTTACTGAATGGGCTATTTTTGCATGGTTCAAGGGGCTGGTCAGAAGGTTTTCAAGGTGTTGTCAATGAACCATTCATATATTCTTGATTTGAACTCTGAGAGTTGTGACTGCAAAAGATGGGAGCTGTCTGGGATTCCATGTCATCATGCCATAGCTTGTGCTAGAGAGGAGAGGATAGATCCTGAGAGCCAGGTGCATGAATGCTACTCTGTAGCTACTTACAAAAAAGCTTATAGTTTCAATATCAAGCCGATGAGGGACCAAGAGCATTGGACAAAGATGGAAGGAGTGGATGTGTACCCACCTGTGTACACCAAGGTGATGGGTAGACCAAGGAGAAATAGAAAGAAAGATCCAGAAGAGAAGCTTGACAAGGAAGGGGGCAAGAAACTGACTAAACATGGTGTAAGCATGCACTTTTCTATTTGTGGAGCAGCAAATCACAACAAGAAAGGTCATCAGAAGTGGGCAAAAACAAATAGAGAGGCACCAGTACCTACAGATGATGATTCAGAAGAGGAGTTTGATGATCCATCCATAATTTCAGTAAGTTAAATATGTCCTGCTTCACATTGTGACAGAAGTTTATCAATTATGCAACTGCGATTTGTTATATTTGCAGAATATCATGCCACACACAATTCATCCATCTATGGATCCAACTCAAACACCAGGATCAATGGTTTACCTCATGCAACAAATGGTAAACTTTAGAACCTGTTATTTTTATATTTGAGGCCTCTTTATATTTAACTCTACTCTCAAACATTGTTTGCAATATACAGGAGAGGATGTCATATCAACCAGTCATGGACCATGGTCCTCTTCCTGAATCTTCATTTGTCGCACAAGCTAGAGCTAGCATTCCTCCACCAAGAGTGACAACTGCTATGGCTACTGGAAGAGTTAGGAGGAGGGGTGTTACTGAAGATATTCCAGAGGATGTGCCTCAATCCAGCCACCAAACAAGTGATAATGCAAGAGGCAGGAAGAGGCAGGCTAAAGGAGGTGGTAGAGGAAATGCTACAGGAAGTGGTACGGGAAACGCTTCACGAGGTGGTAGGGGAAATGCTACAAGAGGTGTGATTTTTGTTGAAATCTACATGTCAGCGTGCATGAAATTATTGTCATTTGTTATCAATTTTCATTTTCCAAATTGGCACGCTTGCAGGAAGTGGAAGGACAAGAGGAGAAGGTGCAAGAGGAGGAACTGGAAGAGGAAATGGTGGAAGAGGAACTCTATATGACAATGGAGGAAGGACTGGACCAGGGGCTGGATTTTGGAACTTGATGTTTGCACCTGATTCAGATAGGTCACATGTCGCAGCAGAGGAAGAGCCGGTCATACAAAATGCACCACAAGGGGATGAGTGGGATGACGACTTCGTCCACATGTAGATATACAAACTGATGCAGAAGTTCATGACTGAACTTTATGGAATGCAACTGAGTTCACCAATAAACTTCATTTGTCTGTTTAGAAGCCTATTTTCATGTAAACATGTAATGCACTTAAGTATGTTGACATGAAGCACATTGGCAGTATTTTTCATTGTTCAAGTGTTTTGTGAATCTGCTTTCAAAATTTATTATTCAAGAGCTATGTGAATCTGCTGTAAAATTAATTATTCAAGTGTTATCTAAATCTGCCATCGAATTGCAATTTTGCTGTCAAATTGACTGTAAAGTTTCTGATGTTGTCAAAGTTCAGTCTATCAACAGTAAGTGATGGCGGGGTACGACGCGAGCATCATGGCTGCTCAGGCCGAAGAGGTACGCCACACAGCTCAGCAGGAGGCCGCTGCTAGAGCCGTTCGGAGGGCCGCAAGCAACAGGCATTGGCCGACCTCGAGACGATCGATATTTCTACCGATGATGAGTAGTACCCCTGTCCGTTTGGTTAGCTTGTGTTAATGCAGTCCTATAAGATTCTGTACTAGTCCAGTTCACAAAAGCCAGTACATTTCTGAAAGTGCATCTAGTACCGAATTCATCATAATGCAGGCTCACTTTCAGTCATTGCAGTACAGGAAATGTCAGATAAAACATGTAAAATTCAGAAGCTTCATTGTATTGCCATTTTCATTCAGTACACATACAAAGTAGCTACTACAGCACACTGAGTTCACCAAAAGAAGAGCTTCAACATTGCTCATTCATGCATTAGGACCTCCCAGCCATTGCAAACATGATTGCAACTAAACCAAAGACTCTGCTCCAGGACCTCTTTCTCCTTTAGACTCTGCTCCAGGACCTCTTTCTTGCAAGCAAGGTGTGATCTACCTCGTGCCGCGGCATGCACCCACCACATCTGGCATCTCATGGTCCTGTGTTTGAATCGTGCAAATCATCTAAAATACCAATCTTTGATGAACTATAGAACCAGAGAGGGGAGATGGATTCAGTGACGACAGACGTAATCTTTGCCCATGGCTCCCCGTCGTCCTCCATCTTCACCCCGCGGAATGCCAGATCCTCCCATCTAAACAGTGAGACACGGGTGGGAGAGTGTCTAAGATAGGGATTGGATAGGGGGAAAGAAGAGGATGCGGCGTCAGCTCACCTGAGCTCCGGAGGCTTGCCGCCGTGGTGCAAGGATACGGCCTCGCCGCCGACCGTGAGCGATATTGCCTCGCCCTGCCGCTGCACTGAATGGGGAACGAGGGTTAGGGATTTGGTCGACCGGGATTTGGGAGTGAATCGTTATGTGCCCTGTCCCGCCGAGCCAGGGATTTTTCTGGGAGAGAAAAAAAATAATCCAAGGTGTTTTGTGGAAAAAGGCCAGCGGCGGCGCGGGCACAGCCTCTCGAGTGGCTGACAGGGGGTCCCATGCCACGCTGTCAAGCTGAGTCAGCAGTGCAGCCGTAGACAAACGTGTTTGGCACCGTATTTGAACCAAAGTGCCAAGTTTTAGCACGCATTACATGTATTTTACAAGTTGAGGCACCAAACTGAACATCCGTGGCAAGTTTCGACACCACCAGTGATATTACATCTTTTCTATTACTTTACTAATACAATAGATGTGATATGGTAATTTTTTTTCTTTGTTTTACAAATCATAAATGGAACCAAAGACAATGGCTTAAGTTAACAACCATAACCCACGTGAAATGGAAAATGGAACCTAACTGGGGGCTCATAACCCGGCAAGTCCAGCCGCAGTCGTTTTCCGATGTTCCCATTGGAATCTTGACACTCTGCAAAACCCAGCAGAGTAAGCAAAGTGCCACATGGCGTGACTCCTGACTGCTCACATGTCAGTTTTTTGGTCCTAAAGGTATCATTACATTCCAGCTAGCTCACTTACAAAGAAAAAATAATTTAGCTACGTGTGTACTGTACTGGTTTTTCTACCAACTTGTTGATCCAAAGTTAGACCATTGTTTAGTCCTCACTTGTCGAATGATAGCACACGGCAGCTGCTGCAACCTTATAAAAGCCGGCCCGGCTGGAGAGCGATGCATGGTTCAGGAGCTGTTGCTAAGACAAGCTCAACCGCTCAATGGCGAACATAACAAACACCTTGAGGGTAGCGATGGCGGCCACAGCGGTGGTGATGCTGACGTCACCGCTCCTGGCCGGAGCACTTTATCGGGGCGAGGCGCAAGGGATGCCCAATTGCGACATCATCTGTGGCAACATGAGCGTGCCATACCCGTTCGGCATGGGCCCGGCAAGGTGCTACTGGCCGGGGTTCAACCTCACCTGCGACCGTAGCAGCAACCCGCCGCGGTTGCTGCTGGGCGACGGCTCCCTCCAAGTTCAAGACCTCTCCATTACCATGGCGACATGGGTGGACGCCATATATATGGGCGACATAAAAGTCGACGGCAACGGTGAAGGCACGCTCCGCGGCGGCCTTACGACCGACGGGCCCTACACGATTTCATCCAACAAGCTCATCGTTGTGAGCTGCAACGTTCAGGCGACACTCAAGAATGGCGATGTGACCGTAAGCAGCTGTTCTTCTATCTGCATAAACGGTGATGGACTCTCCGAGGCACGATCCACACTCGAAGCAGGCATGCAATGCTCCGGCAATGGCTGCTGCCAGTCAGACATCGTCTTCGACCCTGCGGAGGTAGCGGGAAGGCTTGTCAACGGCACGTCCTACAGTGTGCAGCTCAAATGGTTTGGCTGGAACCGCAGCGCCGACCAGCAGTGGCCTGCGCGCGTCTTTGTCGTGAGTCACGGCTGGTTCAGCCATACACCGGCCTTCCTTGAGCTATTAGGAGGAGACACACCCGCATCAGCGGAGGCAATGCAAGTTCCCTTATGGCTGAACTGGGAGGTCGTTGGCCATGGCGCACAATGCTCCAACGTCTGCAAGAGCACGCACAGCCACTGCAAAAAGGGTAAGAGAGGCTACACATGCTCCTGCAAAGACGGCTACGAAGGGAATCCCTACATCAACGGCGGATGCAAAGGTCCGATCTTCGTTAATAATACCATCTTTTTTCTGATTTGAGACGAGCAATAAATTTTGGAGATTTCTCTTTGCTTAATGCTAGCATGTGTTGGTTCGGCTATATATGTGTAGATATCGACGAGTGCAAGGATGAAGTGTACGGCAAGTGCTATGGTCATTGTAAAAATTTGGATGGGTCATATGAATGCCGGTGTCCGCCAGGAACCCATGGCGACCCTACCCTGCCCGGTGGCTGCCTCAGTTCCGTCTCAAGTAAGCAACAGAAACCTCATTAATTTTTACTATTGATATGAAGGAGAATTGAGAACAAGAAAGAAACAGATCATGGCCATCCCTCAACAACTACAAAAAAAAAGTTCAAGCATCAGCAACTAGCCAACTACTGAGTTAAGAATTAGTTATTGAGAACCAATGAATGACTAGAAGCACGTTGCCCAAATAGATTGCACACAAACAAACATGTCGCTTTAGCGAGGCTTTACGGATTTAGTTAGCAAGAGGAAGAAACCACAGGTGCACTAAATCAAGAACATAAATCTTCAAGGGATTAACATTGTTCGGTCGAAATTTCACAAATCTGCTCATGAACTGCATCATTTTGTTACAGAACTGTCAGTTTAGACTTCCCTCTAGAACATCGAAAGTGAAGGTTCACATCAGAAGTGGAAGATGAATATTAGAATATTCTTGCCCCAACTTACAATGAGGGGAAATAGTTTCATCAAGACCTCACCACTTATGACAAATCAATTGACAATTAAAAACTTAGCCAGAAAGTATGTGAAAAATCATGTTGCAGATAAGACTTCTGCAAATAAAATATTAGCAACAGTGATGTTCAAAATATTCATCCAATAAACCCTGTAAATATTTTGCATATTATAAGTAATACAATTATGATGATTAAATTGAAGACAATTTTAATCTGCATCATCATCACCTTAAAGCCTAGTTACACCTCGGAAAGCTGCTTCTAGTGGCCAGGGTACATGACGGTGAGAAATTCCCCCGCAAAAAAAAACGGTGAGTAATTCAGCACAGATGTGCATTAAGATTCGTGCAGCTATGAGGCCACTTCAGGTGTTTATCTATGTATTCAACAGCACACCTATCGGCATATGATTCAAGTTCATT